TCATGTTTTCGACTATTTTACAAAATGATGACTTTTCACTTTTGGGAAGTACAATTTCAAAAATACTTTTTGTAATATGTTTATTATCATGTTTACAATCATTTCCCAAAGTTTTATATTTTTTTTAGAATTTATTTGCTATTTATAAAAGAGGTTTAAAAATCAGTTTTACTATTTATTTCAGGCTGATAATCTGTTATCAGTCAACTGATGGATTTTATCAGTCGACTGATGAACTCGTCTAGAAAGTGTAAAATTTTTTGTTTTTGCGAGTGATAAACTATCAGTCAAATGATGAGAACATCAGTCGACTGATGAGCTTTTCAGTCGGCCGATGAGCTGTGAGCTGCCTATAACGGTCAGCTCATCACTCGACTGATACTGTTCATCAGTCGACCAACGGCCTCTAACGACTAGTTTTTTTAGATTTTCAGGTTTTTGTTTTTTTATCTTTTTTCTTGGTTTTCTCTTGGTTTTGGAGCTTGTTTTATGATCCTATATATACCCCATATCCTCTAACTTCTGAGGGTAATTAAGAGAGTTTTAAAACAAGTTTAAATGGTGTTTTAAAGTTTGTTTAAGTGTGTTTACAAGTTTTGTTTGTGAAGATATTTTCACAAGAGGAAGAAGAGATCATCCTTTGGTGTTTGAGCTTCATCTTATCTCTATCTCTTGTCATCTTAGAGAAGTGTTTCCAAACTCAATCTAGCTTTACATTTATATAATTGTTTGATTATTATTTTATTAAGTTAGAGTTTATATTGAGTTTAGTTTTGATTTTTATTCTCTTTGTTACACACACCCACTTGAGCTTTTACTATTTTAATACATAGTATACTTGGGATTGTGAGAGATTGTAACATTGAGCTGGGCTTCATTATGCTCTCATCTATTATAGAGAATAAATTATTTGTATTTGTGCTTAATTTGTGAGATCACTTTGTAATACACTTGTACACCGAGATGAGTGTGTGATGAGAGACAGGATCGGTTCCAAGAGGAGTGACGTCGGTAGTAAAACCTAGAAAGAGATCGTAATTCCGAGCACTTGATGAAGGACACGAGCTAGAGTACAACAATGTTACATTACACGCTGGGCGCTTCTAGGCGTCGGACTTAGCGCCCAGCGCTTAGTCGCTTAGGCGGACGCCTAAGCGGTTTCTGGATGTTTTTTTTCTTTCTTCATTTAAGTGGTAGTCGATGAGGTTTTGTTGAAGGTCGGAGGAGGTAATGGAGGAGTTCATATTTGGAGGTTAATGGAGTTTGGAGGACGTGTAGGCTACGACACATAAAATCACAATCAAGGCCTACAGGGTGCAATCCACGTAAGCAGACAATGCTCCCCTAAACGCTCGTAAGTGCAATCCACGTAAGCAGACAATGCTCCCCTAAACGCTCGTAAAATCTAGATGGGTAGCCTAAATACCGTCTAGGCGCTAGGCGCTAATTAGGCGGCCTAGGTACCGCCTAGGACTAGGCGTACGCCTAAACGGACTAGACGGTGGTTTTTTAAAACAGTGAGTACAATACTTAGAGGGTATAGAGTGTGTTTGTAAGAGAGATTATAGAGTTTTCGATGAGCTAGAAAACCAAACTTGTGAGGTGTAAACGTTTTTCGGATGAGTGTCGAAAACCCAGTTGTGTAGTGGATTCTCTCCGGGAGTGGGGAGTGTTTGGGCTTGCCTTTGGCACATTTATTCTTGTATATTTTTATATCGTCATTGTTGCATGTTTATATCGCCATTGTTTATATTGCATATTCTTGCTCATATATCTTGTTGTATATCATAATTGCTAGGATATTATTAATTTGTTTTTAATTGGCATTAATATCGGATTAGATTAGCATTTACCTTATTCACCTCACCTCTAGGATGCTTTCATTATGGACTATTATTGAAACTTATCTTTGTGATTATTGAATACATAAGTTTTTCCATTGGTAGAATTTATATTATACAAGTTTTTCTATTAGTAGAATTTAGGATCAATCATTTGGCATGATGGTGAAATTGAGGATGATGTTGTTCATTGAATCAAATCGGGATAGTTGAAATGGAGGAGTGCTTCAGGAGTCTTATATGATTGTAGGATACTAATGAAACTAAAGAAAAAATTCTATAGGATGGTTATAAGACTAACAATGCTTTACAGGTCAGAGTATTGGGCAATTAAAAAAAACATGAGCAAAAGATGGGTGTAGTAGAAATTAAAATATTATAATGATCTTGTGGGTATACACTAAAAGATAGAATAAGAAATGAATGCATCCGTAGTAAATTAGAGGTTGCTCCTATTGAAAATAAAATGAGAGAATCAATTAAGATGGTTTGGTCATGTACAACGAAAACCTCTTAGTGCCCCTCTAGGAAAAGTGATAGTATTATACTTAATGGGGCTACGAGATCTAGAGGTAGACCTTAAAAAACTCGGTTGGAAGCAATTAAGAATGATATTATAATGATGGAGAAGATGTCCCATAGTGGAACAGAATGGAAGAATAGGATTCATGTAGCTGACCCCAAACATTTGGGATAAAGGCTTCGATGTTGTTGTATATATTCCCCCATGGGAAAAATTCTCGATCCCTTCGTAAATGGAGCAACCCCCATGATTATTAGTAGTCGTGAGGATCTACAAATTGTAATCTAGATAGCCTTTGGTTGAATGCTCATCACATTGCTTACAAAGTTATACAAAGTTATCAACTTTTAAGGTTATATTTTACCGAACAATCTCCAATCTTTTGAGCTTACATTCCTTCATAGAGTATATTTGTTTATGCTTTTTATTTCTTATCAAATATCTGAGTTTCCTTAAAATTTGCCAACTTGGATATTTTATCTTTAACAGTTTTTGTACTGGAGTTGTGGCCTACTTCAGACACGTTAAACATGCATTCCCTCCCTTACCAATGTAAGTATTATTAAAGGTGAAGGAAGCTTGGCATACCCACACTTAGTCTGAAAATTTTCATGTGAAATTAAGTTAACCTCATCATCTTATAACGGGCACTTAAAAACCATGTAAGACCTCCTAAAACTTTAATGTTCAATTTATTTATTTCCAATACATATATAGAACCATAATTGGATTTTGTATACTTCAAAGTCAGCACATAATGTAAAATTTACATAAGTAATGGGTTCTCACATCTGTAGCTAATAATAATAATAATAAGCAATGGATTTGGCAACTCATGAATGGATAGTAACAATTATTTGAGAGTACATCTTCCCATCTCATGAAACATTGATTATGGGCACACCATCTATCAAACTATCTAAATTTGGAGTGCAAGTAATGATCTCCCGTATCAATCCTAGAATAATTTTAGCCAGTACTTCTCATATCCCCCAGATTTGTGATTCTGTTCTTCAAAAGAATTAATAATGTGGCATGGACAAAGATATATAAGTAAATAAGAAACACGGAAAAGAAGAATAAAAGAAAGCCGCCAAAAATCAATTATACTTATTATTAAAAAAATCAATTATACTTGATCTGTCCCAGAGATTTAATTTAGTATTTTTGCAAAATATCCGACTACATGTTGTCATTTTCATGCTCCAGTTCTCTTTCTATAAATTTCACTTAGAAGTTCGAATATGTTTTATTTCTTAAATAGCTCCAAATCATGTCATGATATGCGTAAACATATGGAAAAAATGCATTAAAATTTGATACCGGTGAACCTCTGTAATATAACATCTTAACAAAGATCTGTTGCTTACTCCAAGCCAAAAATGACCGAGTAGCCAGCAAACTGCATCCAACACCACCTTTGGCCACCCATAGCCAGCATTATGTCCACTAAGTACGACGACTGAAGAGTAATTTCCCCAAATTTCCATTAAACGGTAATTTCCAACCATGTTCTTTGGTTCCAACTTTTCTTCTTTGTTTCTCCTTTCCTTTATTTTAGGTTGTATCATATATCTCTCAATCCATTTATAAAAGGACAAAAGTTCTAAACAAAGGACTACAATAGATTTTGAAATTAAAATGAGCTTAATCATTTTTAAATTTTGCAGAGAGAATATATGATTTAACTTCTTAAGTTTCTCTCACAATTTAATTCTGCCATAGAGTTAAAATTTTCTACCTTTTTCATTAAGTGCAGGACAAAATCCATTCACATATGGGATCTCCATAAATGTTATTCCACCTTTTATACATACATTATATCAATCACATCCTTTTATCATAAACTAGCCTAATCTGCTTCATCAAAGGCAAACTTGAATCATCAAGAAGCTGGGCATTCAGATAGAAAGATTGATTTACATCTCTGTTTAAGAACGCTAATTCCCAAATCTACTAGAACTCATAATGCTATGCTACATATAGAAGTAGCTGAGGGTAAGATCCAATATGTAAGATTACATGTATACACAAAGAGTTTAGCAAAAATCAATATACAAATCATGGTAAGATAGCTTTATGAGAGTCAAGAAGGCCTGTCAAATAATTAACATCAAATGAATCATGTGATAGAATAGAATGAAAAGAAACAAAAGATGCAAAGTTGTCCATTAGTAGTTTTCCAGATACCACATTCATCCAAAACCACAAGTTAAAAAACAATTATGGGTTAACAATGTTATTAAGCAAACTTTATACTTAATTCTCCACTTGCATAGCCTTTGGGACCATGTGAAAATGCCTCGAGCATAAGAATAACTTGCTTGGTGAGGTAGAATAAAGCTGGGAAAATAAACTTGCTTATAGATGGTTAACAATATGATATGTAAATATGTAATCAGAATTTCCTGAAACTACTGATGAGATACTATGGGGTACCCACTTCAGCCAAATGATTAAGCTAACATGTTGTGAGCTAACAATGTATATCAAGCAAACTGAACTTTTAAGAAGGTAAAATGGTCATTGTAATCAAGTACTATAAGGTATAACTCACTGTTGGTAGTTAGAAATTAATCAAAATTTTGTGCATCATCCATTACACAACTATGTTATCAAACAGAAACGAAAAGTACCTCTTGCTTAGCGCGGAAGCCCTCTAATTTATCACTCACAGTTACCTCCGTTAATTTCCGAGTTTCCCTGTTACAATTAAGAACGGTGGCTTAAAAGGTGAAATGATGAAAGAAAACTAATTTTTTTTCTTTATGCGGCATGTGATAGAACCCATCTATTGTGGTTAAGTTGTGGATCACCATGTTTAAACTCATTCGCATTAAGAGGATGAAGATCAATAACCAAATGAGAAAAATATGTTTCTAAATTCTAGTGTTGCTTCTTACTCCTTTTAGTATTTAATATATTCAACATAAATAGTCTTAGAAACAGTCAATAGAATTTAAGCAGCCCTGGTATAAAGAATTTTCAAAGTAAGATACCTTAAATAAACATCTAGTAACTTTAACATAAAAAGGAGAACTCTAACATTGAGAAACAACCACTCAACCAGAAACCTAATAGAGCATAAGTTCAACCATACCATAACTAGCCAAGGTAGTGCTTAAATTCAAACATACCATATCTATCCTATGTAAGATTTGTTCAACTCCATTTTATACAGACGATCTGATTAACTATGCGTCGAATAAGATGCTAAACAAAGCTCCTCACATTTCTTCTTTGTATTAATAAATTTATTTTGATATCTGAGCAGCAGGTCCAAGTTTTTTGTGTAGAATCTGGTTATGGCTCCCATCCCCTCTGTAGTTGCATTACCAGCAGCAACCCTAGACTTTCCTGGCCTTCCCTTGATTGTCTTAGAAATAGATCATTTCACACTCATGCACAATTAATCAACTGCAGTAATGACAAAAGGGAGGGATCCTCTTTCCTCCAATTTTGGATCAAAAATTTCTGCTAAAAAGAGAAAGCATTTAACCATTGTCAAAGTGTAAAAGTTTAATTTTTAGCATCGAAGCAGAAATTGTATAACTATCTATTCATGTAATTACCTTTTAAATTGACAAAAGAATTTGGATTGAAGGCTGAATTACATATTTGGATTAAGGGAAAAAAAAAAGCTTCAATGTCTAGTTTTCTTCTCCTCTTTCCTCTCCTCTTTGACAAAATTCTTCACTTGCATATAATTTTTAATCTGAATAACATTTTATACCTATTGTTAGCTTGAGAATGGCTTTACCAGCCAAAAACACCAGGTACCTTTTTTGGAGGAGGGATCCAAAAAAGAACTTGGGCTTGATTTGTATTATCACATGGAACAACAACGATCAGCATTTCTCTGTTTAACCAACAATGATAAGTTTCAAATGGAACTTTCAACCCTAATGTTGTTTCGCTGGATCATACGATTAGCATTAGATCCTAATTTTACAAGGAGTCTATTCCACTTTGACAGAATAGACTCCTCATAGAAATAATTGTTTTCAAGTAAGGTTTGTATTTTCAGCCGATACCGATATATTTGTCGTATCATATAGAATTTTAGGTATGCTGACCCAATCCAGCTGAAACTAACAAATAAATAGGTAGATATTCTTATATACTCGAATTTATCTTTACATCTTAGAATCAAGGTTTTAAATGTCGGCCGACATGTCGGTTTGAGGGCTTGAGGGACACGACATGGGCGTTTTCAACTCCTATGTCGGTTTTCAGGGCCAAATCGGAAATATCGAGGCCATATCGGGCATACCGGCCGATTTTTTAGCTTTGAAAAATCAGCCGGTATGACCCTTTTTTTTAGATCTGTTTTTTGTTATCGGGTTTGGGTTTAGTGATAAAAACCCAAACCCGTTTGACCGTTCTCATGTTTGAGGGTTTCTTATGAACCCGATAGAAAGAAAAGAGAAAAATTAGGACTGCAGCGGACTTGGGAACCCATCACTCCTTTCATCGATGACGACGTCCTTCCCCACCTCCATCTCGACCCCCCGTCGTTCATCTCCTGTTGCGCCCCAAAATCCGAACCCCAACCTAACCCGAGGATGGCAGGGTATCCCGTCGTCAAGATAAAGGGAAGATGATGGTCGGTGACTCATCCAAAGGACCACGAGCAGACGAAGAAGAAGAAGAGCCCTGGCACTGCCTCCCTGTGATGTCCCGTCGCTGACACTGTCTCCCTACAACGTCAGATCCACCCATCGCCGACGTCGGAATCCACCCATCACCGACGTCGGCTCTAAAATTTATAAAGTATGCTTATATTGAATTTAGGAATGCTTAGATTACATTTAGGACATGATATTATACATATGTGCACCACCTGATATGGCAATCCGATAGTCCATGTCCCCCGATAATATCCCCAATTTCCGCTACATGAATTTCAGCCGTCTGACATGAACCCAACATTCGACATTTAAAATCTTGCTTAGAATATAAACAAAAGGGAGGATATCTTATAGGATGTAACATTCCCATAGGATATGAAATGAACTGATCCTGACCATCAGTTTTCGTCTTTTCGTTTTAGGTTCAGGATAAAAACATAATTAACTTGTCTCCCCAACCCAAATATATCGATTCAACCCACTCTTGTGCTCATTGTAGAAGGCTCCTCTGACAGTGTCAAAGAAGTCGTCGACGATGATCACGAGTGAGTTGGATTGATTGGATCCCCGACTTTTGAACCTCTTTGTTTGAGAGAGGGGAGAGAATCACATGAGGCAACTTAAGTAAGTTTTAGTCCTGGCCCTAAAATTAGAACTGATGGTCAGGATGTACGCATCTCATATCCTTTGGGAACCTTGCATCCTACAGGATATGCTCCCTATAAACAAGTATTTTTGTTTGAGATATCTATTTCTTTATAAAATTTTTGTCTACATGTTGGTTGAAATAATGGAAATGAAACCCCATGTGGTAGGATTATGTATTCAATTAAATGCCAACTACGACATAATATAATATCATCTTATTAACATTCCAATTATACTACCTAGTTACGTAAATGTAACCAGGAATACATAAGCAGATTGCTAGCATAAAAGACTACTTCCAATTGCATTCCACAAATAATTTCCACATACATATTCCTATAAACTGATTTGGATGTTAGCGAAAAAAATCACAAATTTAAATGGCAGTTGGACCTCAAGATTTTATATGAAACAAAAGGATAATTAATATCTTAAAGCTGCTAGTGCAGTGCATGTGCCATACGTTCTTGACCACATGTGAGTATGGTTAGACTGCCAGTAGATATTTTCACAGGGAGGAAACATGGACTCTCTTTTTTTGTGGCATGCTTACCTTGGGGGCACGGTTTAGCAGCTTAGTTGGAAATTGGGTACAATATTAGGAGATTACCAAGCTTGACCTCCTCTCAGTTTTTACATTATCACGAGTTATGATTATCCTTCAGCTCTTCTTCTTTTTTACTCTTTTTGAATATGGCTCAAAGAACATTAGATGATTCAGCTTAACATGGAACACAGATTCATTGTTTTGTACACTGGTCGAGAAACTAAGTATAGGTGTATAAAGTGAGATCACAGAACTTAGTTATCCTTGAATGAAATTGAGTGATATAGATCATGACAGAGCTCAAATCATACACTGTATTTCCAATGTTTTCCACGAATACAAAACACGTAAGACTAGAGCAATAAAATAAGCGAAGTTGTGTAAATGTGAGTGTTATACAAACATGTATGTGCAATAGACTGGTAAAATAAGGACAAAAAAATTTCACTTGAAGTCATGTGCAATGCAGAAAAATATGCGCATGGTATACGTGTGTCCAGCAGTTGGGGAGTGTGTTCGATTGATGTACACAACTACACACCATGAATGCTCGGATGCCTCAATCCATCGATATATAGATGCATGCATCCATGCATGTGTACATATATGCAGAGAGAGAGAGAGAGAGAAGCAAAATGTTTAACCTAACAAATCAATTGCATGCAAATATACAGTTATAGGGTACTATTATGTATTCTTTTAGAAGGAAGAAAATGGGACCAAAAGCCTTACGAGTATTTTCTTTTAAGTGTTCCCTCAGGCTCAATGAAGTAACCTGAAGCTCCATAAATCTCCTGCATCTACAATCCCAAAGATACACATTTTAAATGATTAACTCAAAAAATTTGCAGTATCAATACACTGAAATTCCTGAAAGAGCCTAAGTAAAATATATTAGCTCATGTAAGAAAATTTCAGTGTATGTCTTCCATAACTGTATATATGACAACCACCACTAAAAAATATCATTTGATAGTGTGGTAAAGCACAACCAGTGTTTAGATACCTTAGTGATATCGAAAATGAGTGTCCTCATGGTTCGTGAGTACATATAGTGTTTCTTATCTTATTATACACGTGACTTGTCACCTGCCATGAATTTCTGTGTGCATCCACATTCGACAACATGTACTATGTCCAACCGTGGCAAGCACTTACTGCCTGTTACGCATTCAAACGAGCAGCCAAAGAGCAGACTATCCAAACCCAACTGGATAAACCGCTTATAATGGGCAGTGTTGGCTTTGGGTTGAGTAGGAAACGTATAAAGAGATGGTAAATGAAAAGCATAACTTTTACAGGAACAAGCATTGAACCCTGAAACCACATGCTTAAACCAGAAAAGCAATTCTAGGCTTTAGTATAAGCCTAGTTCTTATGTGAGAACAGTGTCCCAACTAAGGAAAACCTAGCACCGAGAACTGCTGATACTGAACTCATTTTCTGTAACAATATATCCCTGATACTGAACTCACTTTCTGTGATCCATTTGATATCCCTATTCTGATAGGTTGTTGGATCTACAGTGCTTCTGTGTATCAAAAAATAGCTTAGTATAACATAACCCAATTACTAACTTCAGTTTATGCATTACCACTGGTTTTTACACCTTCCTTGGAGAGAATATTAGTTTCTAAGAATACAACGTCGGTGAAGTTTCTTGTTTTCCATTCATAACTTGCGTCGCACGTATGGATACAAATTTAAGGCATATGAATAGCACATGAATTACATATATCAACTAGAGAAGACTGTACTAAAAAGATCAATGTGTATCTTGATCAAAATAACTAGATGTTTCAAGAAAAGCAAAGAAACCAGAATCTTTTTTCATAAACATTCAACACCACTCATTTCCCTATTTCACTCCACAGATTGGTTATCTCATAAAAGTTCTAAATGATAGAACTTACAAATAAATGTTCAATTTATTGTATGTGCATGGGTTATCAATGATCAATCCAGGAAAACTGTATGCTAGAACTTTACTACTGACAGAATATAGTATTCCAAAACAAATAAAGTAAATCTCTTCAGTAACTTCATTTCACATTTCACAGATAAACTGTGCTTGTGAGGGCTTGAGGGATCAAAATTTTAAAGAATTTTTTAATATATTGTGTATGCATGGATTATCTGGGAGGCAATTGTCTAAAAACTTTACAAGTAGAAATAGAACATGGCATTTCAGACAACATTCAAAAACCCATATTTTCCTAACTTCACTCAACAAATGAGACATCCTGCAACGACTTGAAGGAACAAAATTCCATATAATATTGTATGCTCAGAATAATGTACAAAACATCCAGTGTAACTTATGCTACAACTTTCCCTTCATTAACAGAACATAGCATTCCAGGACCCACATTTTTTCAGGCAATAGATCTACTGTTTGAGGAGCAAATATCTACCAATAATTCACCATATAAATTTATAGAGCATTTGTCAGCTTGACTTACCTGTCCATCCAACCAGACAAGATATTGCACAACAGCTGCACCATCTCGGATGTGTGCCTGAGATAAAGCATAAATTGGTCAGTGAAATTTCAAATGACTACTGTCTGCATAAGGTTTTGACAGGGAAACTAAACATAAAGGACCAAAGGGAATCAAAAACAACATGAGATAATTAACCAGCAGCAAATAAATATAATGATGACAATTCAAATAACTTTGAAGTCCAAAACTAACTATATTCCTATGCAAATTGCAATCAAAATTGAAACAAAAAAAACTCCTTTATTATGTGTCCAAAGCTCCTCAGATAAAGTTTAATGATTTTAGAAAGTCTTTACCTACCTTTCTTGATTTGTAGGCTTCCTACCTATTGATGGGAATCAAGATTAAGACTAGGATTGATTACCTTTAAATTTTAAATTAATATTTGATTTGGACTTTAATTCTATTTGGGTTAGAATTTGTTTTTGATTTTGAATTGCAATATGATAAGAAGTTTATTTCTATTTGCAATATTTAGTAAAGATAGGATTTTAAACACTAAATATAGGGGCTAAAATTTTCATCGTATTTAGAGTTCATGAGATTTGATTTAAATAAAGAAAATTAGGGTTAGAGAAAATTGTGGAGTGATTTCTCAATGGCATGAAGCCAGTGGGGGGCAATATTTGACTAGACTAGTCAATGCAACCAGTTATTTAACAAGTTCACGTCAAGATAAATGTGTACGGGCCATATATGGTAAGGTTTTAAATATCGGATATCGGGAAAAATCAGATGGCCAAAATTCATATTGAATCATGGATATCGGAGAAATATCGAGGATATGTAGTAAATATTAAAATGCCATAACAGATATTTGCATATATAGTATAATGCACTAAAATGTAATCTCTATATACTTAATGAAATCTAAACATACAAAAAGTAAATAATATATGTTTAGGATCACTAATCAACCTTGTAAAATAAATAGAAGTACAATCAACATTGCAACATTTCGTCTAATTTTTTTAAGGCCAAAATGTCATTTGATATAATGGGAAAATAATGATATCTCGCCCAAAAATTGCCAAATGTGGTATATTGTTTGCGACAAGACATAAAAGAATATATCGGTCAACATATCGGCTGATATATCGGCCATATCAATGATATATCACCCAAAATAGCCAAAAAATAGTAAAGGGTATTTGGAGACCATATCAGCTGCGGCAAGCCCTGTAAAGGATATATCGTGGCAATATATCGGGCCATTATGTCAGGGATATTTAAAACAATGATATACAGATCGACAAAAGTAACCCGTTTATTGATCAATCAACTTATATATGACCCGTTTAACCCGTTTATTACAATCCTAAAAAGAGCTTTTCCGTTTCTCAACCCCAATCCATCTCATAAAACCCTAAAAAGAAAATCTCTCTCGAGTTCAATCTCCATCTAGATTCTCAAGATCTCTTCTTTTGTTTCTCTCGAGCTACTTTGTTCTCATCTAAAGCCAACTCAGAAATTTAAAGATCTTTACTGTTAATTTTGCATTTGCATTGCATCAAGTTCTTTAGATTATTCGCTTAGAAAACCCTATAGTTTCTGTGCAGCATCACCTATTTATCTATCTAGAACAGAACATATAGATTTGAAGGCCATCCTTAGAAGTATCATCAGATTTTAACCGAAATAAATCAGGGTATAGTTTTTTAAGTTGGGGCTGCCAGATTCCTCACATTGTCAATGCAACAATATGGAAAAAATGGTCAGTTCTACCTATAGTATCTCTACAGCCACATCACCACAACTGTAGTCTTCCGTTGTCTGCCACATTAATATAGTTTACCCTATAATAAGCATCAAATACCACTAATACCTGTTTAGGTATTTTTACCTTGTCAACATTGTGTTACTTCTAGCACAATCCAGAGGTGTTGTTGCCATTGCTAAAAGTCGCTTATCATGCACCCAATGGGTCATGCTCATTGTTTTAAATATCCTCGACATGGCTTATATGTTGACCAATATGTCCTTTTATAAGACCTCCCAAAACAATATGGTCTTAATATCTTTTACTATTTTTTGACAAATTTAGGCGATATATCCCAACATGGTCGATATATCAGCTGATACGTAGTCTGATATAACCTTTTATATGACTTATCACAAACAATATACCTATTTTGGCAAATTTTAGGCGATAGCATGATTTTCCCGATATATCAACTTATCAAGTGACATTTCGGCCTCAGAAAAAATCGGTCGAAATTTTACAATGTAGATTTTGGCTTTTATTTGTTTTGAAAGATTGCTTAGTGATCCTAAACATATACTATTCATATTTTTTAATGTTTAGATTCCATTAAGTATGTTAAGATTATATTTTAGGACATGATATTATATATGCACATCATCAGATACGGCACTCCGATATTTACTTTAATTTATTATGATTCTACAATTTGGCCTCATATTGCATATTGTGTAAATACCACACTACCACTTGTGGAGGTACCGAAGGAGGTAGACAATGAAACAAAAGATAGCTATAGGATTTATCCATGAGGCGTTGGATTCAGCTAAAAAGAATATTGCATGTAGCAATGTCAAAAAGAAATATATGTTGATATGGAATAAAATAGATAAAATATGGAATGACTAACTTCATCATCTACTTCATGCAGCTGGACATTATTTGAATCCACATTTCAGGTATGTGGAGAAGTTTTTTAACGTGTGAGAAGTGAAAGAAGGCTTGTAGCCTTGTACACACGCATGGATAGGATGATTCATGTCAAGGACGGATCGCATAATGCTAATGTTCAATTGGACTTTTTTATGAAGCAAAAAAGAATTTTCGAACTTCATTGACTATAGAGACAAGAAAACTAAGTTCATTGGATAATATGTATTCTTAGGCTATGAGAGGCATAATTCTTTTTATAACTTCTATAATTATATAGCTTGTAACGTTGTATGCAATTGATTAGTGGTCTAGATTTGGATAAAAAATGTCAAGAATTAGTAAGATTTGCAATGAGTCTTAAACCTCACATGTAACTCCTCAAGTTGCGAAAGGAATTTGGGTATATTTGAACAAGTGAGAAAAAACTCGGTTTATATATAAAATTATAAGTTTACAATTTAAATTTGATCCTCATTAATTTTTACTAACTAATTTATTGGAGATACTAGGTCCATGCAAAGAGAAGAAATCGTCTTGAACAAAAGAGGATTCACTCTCTTGTATACATTGTGTATAATATGAAATTAAGAGAGAGAAACATGCAAAGAAAAGCTTATGCAGATCATATATTAGCGTGGAAGTCGCAGATTCAGAAGATGAATGGATTGCTCCAAATAAGGATGAATACACTAGAAGAGTAGATGTGAAAGATGATAGGTTACATTTTGATGTTGCTTCGGCGGATAAAATTTGAGAGGAGACTTGAGGACATGGAAGCAAGTGTATCAAATACGCGACAAAGAGTACACTTAAGCCAAAGTAGGCAGTAACCATATGATTTACATAATTATTATTTACATATCATTGATATATTCTTTAAAATTTATAACTTGGCAAAGGAAAGGAAGTTCAGATCATTGACGACGAAGTGATGCCCATATTAAAGGAAATGATGAAGTCGATGACGAATTAATGAACAACCTATTTAATTTGGTGTAAGACGAAGAAGATGATTAATTGTTTTAGTATCTAGTATTCATCAGTTTGATGAATTTTAAGTATTTAAGAGTGAATGTTCAAAATTGTTATTACTTACTAGATGTGAAACTTTAACATACAGATTTTAATTAGAGTTTGGAAATTAAACATTATTAATTTTTTGGTTGAGGGTGTTATGAGCACATAGTACAAATTTGTGTTGATGTGTGTGTGCGTGAAGAATATGGGTATGCTTGGTAGCAAACACCAAGTTATGGTGCTTGGCTATGATGCACGTATATAAATACGGGACACGGATACGACACAGACACGGATACGGGATACGATAAAATCCAAAAAAATAGGATACGGGGATACGATAAGGATTTTTTTTAAAAATATTATTATATATAGAAAAATTTATAAAATTCAACTAATCAACTAACAATCTAAAATATGAATCTATCACAAAATAACAAGTTTGTAAATAGAAAGTACCTCAAGATGAAGTGGAAGTTGAGAGATTGAGAGAGAGGATTAGGGTTAGGGTTAGGGTTTTTTCTTATTCTCTTTCGTTTGAGTCAGTTGAAGATCGAATCGAACGGGAGATTTGAGAAATATGGATGAGTTTTTTAATCGAACGGTTCGGGTTGGATTTTAACAACCAAACCCGCAACCCGAATGAATCGGTCTTCGGCGAATCCGAACCGTGTCCGAGCCTAATTTGACCGTTGACTCGTGTCGAACACGGATTGACCGTGTCCGACACGTGTCATGCACGTGTCGTGACGAATCCGTGTCCGATTCGAGTTGGAAACGGATTCGTGGCCTCCGAGGGCGAATCTGTGCTTCAGAGGTGCTTGGTAGTGAGGTGGAGAAATCTCAACCATAGATGTGAGTGAGATTAGTTAGATGGAAAGTACATCCCATGTGACACATTTTCTCTTTGTACTTTACAACCTTAGATATAGGGTTGAGATGCATCAAGCTCACTACCAAGCACCAAATTTGTGTTAGGCACTAACTACTAAGCATATCTGTTTCTACATACCCACACACATACATGCAAACATATACACACACAGACATGTGTGTGTGTGTATATATGGAGATGACCATGCTTGGTACCAAACGCTAAGCTTGTGCTTCATAGTGACGAGGATGCATCCACCTCACTACCAATTACCAAACACCAAGTTTATGTTTGGTAAGGAATATTTTTATGAGGGGCAGCACAGGCTATGTCAAACAGTCAGGGTTCCGAGGTTTCGAACCCCGATTTATTTAGTAGCCTAACCACGAGAGGGCTGGGGAGAGGTCCTAATTAGTCAGGGTTGGCAACCCCGACTAATTAGGATCGTGGTTTTTTTTAAATGACCCACTTTCTCACCACGTGCACTTTCTGGCCACGAAGCTGATGTGGCAAGAAAGTAGGTCGATTTTGGTAAATAAGTTTGGATACGATCGATTTTTGGGATTAAAATTGTGAATGGGTTTATTTCAAAATTTTCTTCAACTAACTTATTAAATTATTTAAATAAAGTATTATAGTCCTTTATAATTATGATATGCATAATTATTAAACTAGGAACAATTATAAAGTACAATAATGATTTATTACAATTATCCTAAATTACAAATATACTATTATAATTATTATAGTATATTACAGTATAAATAAATTTTTTAAAAATGTCATTATTACTTAAATAAATAATGAGAAAGTAATCATTCAAATAATAATATTTTTTATACAAATCATTTTACACAATTTTATTGTACAATTTTAACTTATATAGTTAATTTTACACAATTTTTATTGTACAATTTTAATTGGTCTAATAATTTATTATTGTTGTAAAAGCCACTTTATTATTTTCCAGTCAATGGAAAAAATTTAAAACATAAACAAGTATGCCCACGTGCATAGCACGTGCACTATACTAGTTATAATTAAAATTTTAATTTCATATCGCATATACGTTAATGAAATGTACATCACTGTATTGGTGCAACTGATGGGACCTACATTCCGTGTATGGTATATGGCGAGGTCCAAACTCCATACTGTAATAGGCATGGCTATCTTTCTCAAGATGTCCTTGCAGAATACATTTGAACTTGAGTTTATTTTTTATCTTGAAAGATGTAATGAGTAGAAGTGCATGCAAATTTTTAATCCTAATAGTAATAATTTTCATTCAATTTGTCAGATTTTTTATATATTTTTTTCAAGAATTTTGTCGATTATAATTCAAAAAATATGTTCTTGAAGGCAAATTCTATTTAGTTAATGATGGTTACCTTGTATCGAGGTATGAGGTACCACCATAAGGAGTTCGGCCTAACCAACAACCGCCAGAGGTCATGCAACTCATATGTTTCGTTCAACCATCAGCAAGCATCTCTTTAAAATTGTATCAAGCTTATTTTTAGCATTTTCAAGACGAGGTTCACTACTTTCCAGGCTCAACCTCCCGGTTTTCCATAAGAGAGGAAATCATGGTTTGGGCAAGTATCAGTCAGCATGACTTTCTAAAGTTGGAGAACTCAAACAATGACTTTGAAGTTACTGATTTATTGCGAGGCACCGTGTAATGTTGCGCCACGTGATGGTGATTCTGATGAGGATGGCGATTTACATACTCAACAAGGCACAACTGACGATTGCAGCAAGTTGGAACAAGTGGCGCAAACTATGTGGGAGAACGGGGCACGAGTACCCCGAGGAGTCTAGATCAGAGTTGTTGTCCGTTGGAGTATATTCGTATTAATTAAAATTTTATTTAAGACTGAGAGTCTGAGACGTTATTTCTAATAATTAAGATGTATCTTAAACTAGACGGTTCTTCTTTAAATAATAATTTAATAAATAATATGTGTTAATTATAATAATATTAAGCTAGTTGGATTTAATTTATACTTAATTATTTAAGTACAATATTGTTAATACATTATATTAATTAATATATATAATTCAGTATATATTCAAATAAAAGTAAAAAGTAACTAATTAATACATTTTAAATAAATATAAAAATAATAAGATAATTAATATAATTAAAAATATTTTTAATACATCATATTGATTATAATGAAGGCCAAATTATGTTAATTTTGGTTATTTAAACTATTATTATTATTATATTTAATTCATGATGTGATGTAACAATAAATTTATTTGTTCTTAATTGATTCATAAATATCATATTTTAAAAAAGATTTCATCATCAATTGTCTCACTCAAATTGTCTCATTATCCCATTTTATCTCACTTTATCCTAGATTTTCCCACTCAAATTGTTCCAAGGGGGTAAAATTATCCCAATTAGCCCAAAGTCTCTCAATGAATAACCCCCTAAGAACTTGCGCACAATTCGAATATTGGGTATCGATTGGATTTTTTTATGCCTAAGTTTTTGAAATAGATTAGACTTATCCGGCATGCATCAACTTTGATTCTCTATAGAGTATATACCGGTTCCCATTTTCTGACATAGTAAAGTGTGACTCACTAATAACAGGATTAGGGTCGAATCAGAAGCATGCAAGGATATGCGGTTGATTTGGAGGCACAAGGGACAATTGACTAATAGTAATCAGGGACACTAGAATCACAAGATCACTACTTTATATCAATGTGCCATCAATTTATCATCATCTATTTACTTTGGTTTAATCAGCTGCATCTGCATTCTTAGTTGGAAGATATGAATTGAGACACAAACTGAAGTCATATATCACAAGTGTTATATTGAACCTTAATAGAAATTTTCTTAAGTTCATACAAAAGAAAGTCGACAACATACATGTTTGTTTGTGAATATAAATATATTTCAAATGTGTGTGTGTGTGTGTGTGTTTATTTTTTTTTTTGGTTTGGTCACATATAGGGATTGATAAAGAATTAATATAATAATAATAATAATAATAATAATAGTAATAATAATGATGATGATGATAAACCAATTAATCGACTAAGTTTTAATAATGAATGTTTATTATAGTTCATTTAATTCATGCAAATAACTGATCTAAGAGATAAGGTAGACAGGTTATTAAAATATACAAACAAGTGACAATCCCTTGTAACTGATGAAACTGATGAAAATGGCTAACAATTGAAGGGGCCTGCTGGTGTAGTTGGACTAACATAGAGGAAAATATTCTTTGTTGCTATTACCCAATTCAGCCTCAGTATAGATAATTAAGTACAAAATTCTAAAATACGGGGAAAAAACAGTTTCCTAGATGATTCAGACGTTTTTCATTTTAAAGCACGCAAATTATCTGATTTGGTAAATTAAAAACTGAAATATGGATTTCCATGTTAGCAATATGTTAGCCGTTTGATCTTAAACGCTTTGATGAAAATGATGGTTTGGAGCGTGAATGTGGTGGGTGGGTAGGGTTGATAAGGATGACATATTAATGTCAGCACTATAAAATAATAAACAGCCATGCATTCATGATCATGTGGAAATGGAAACTACTAAGATTTAAATGTCATTGAGCTAGACTGAACAAAAGAGGACTTCCCCGACATACCTTGATAGCTTTTGCAAGTGCCAAAGGTGACTGTTGCATGATAACTCGATCAGAAGCCAGCTTTGAGTAGAGTGCAAGGCAGCAAGAGACTGGGTCAATCCATATTTTACCATTTTCCCTAGTTTTTTGGGCCTCATCACAAGCTTCCTTGCGAGCACCTGAACAGCTTAACTTCCCAGAAGCAAGCAAGCTTGCATCTGACTCAACTACTTTGTACTCACGGACTTCAATTCCATTATTGCTCATATAAGATTGTACCTGAACTCAAAAGGTTAATAAAAGAAATCAAAATGATAGACTTAAAATGGCCATGGCCCGTGATACATAAGATTCGTTTTATCCATTATCTCAAATTAAATTGTATCGTTTCTCATATACGGTCAACTTTTAGACTTTAGTAAGTATAACAGCACCAAAATTCATCAAAGAATTTAAAACATTGACTGGGCAGAGATGTATTAACATGGTTAACATTGATAGACTTAAAACGACCATGGTATATATAATTCTTTTTTTTAACAATGTCAGAATTAAATTGTATTGATTTTCATGTACAACAAATTATGCTGTGTAACATCATTAAAATTCGTCAAAGAATTTATAAGGTCGGACCAGATAGTATTAACACAGGCCAAATTGAGAATAAGCATAGGGACCAAGTGCCTAAGTTTCATCATACTGGCAGCTAGCATGAAATGTATTTAGTGGATAACACTGTATCAGCTGAACCTGGAAAAAATAATCATGATAGAACAAGAATAATCTAATAGAAACATTTATCTTATTCAATTATGGAAAGCATGACTGAAATACAGCAAAGAATTTTGGTAAAGGTCATTATACACAATGATTGTCATCTAAAGTGGTGACAGCAGGGAATGAGTCCCACAAACTAGAAAGATGATGCATACTCATAAATGGTGGAGCATAAGTATCCTACTCCTACCTTGGCAGAAGCTACAAGTCTGCATAGTTGGACAGTATGGTCTCATAGACAATATGGTCCCATAGATGTTTTGCTTATATTATGGTGAAATAACAATTTGCAAAAAGTTCTAGGCGTCGGACTGGAGTCTACCGCATAAGCGAGGGCCTAGGTGGATTTTTCTTTCTTTTTTTTAAGTGGTGGTGGAAGAGGCTTTGTTGAGTGTTGGAGGAGGTGTTCGTAATTGGCAGAGGTCAGAGGACATGGAGATGACAACAGAGGAAACACAACCACAACCTAAAAAGTGTAGTCCGCATAAGCAGCCCACACCACGCTAGGCGCTCCCAAGACCTAGGCGAGCAGCCCAGGTACCGTTTCGGCCTAGGCGGGTGCCATTTCTTAAAACATTGGAAATAAACATCAGACCCTGGGTGCCAAGGGCCACTTCAACAAAATTGTAGACAAGCAGTGACCAGCAAAAGAGAATCATCTTCACATTTGACATTAATATAAAAATAAGTAATTATCTCAAAAAGGCAATATTTACCAACTAAGGAGAGATGGTGGACCGAGGAAATCCAAAAGGCAGTTGAAGGAAAACTTGTGTAAAGAATGTCAAAAGCGTAGCAGGCTAGAACAGTGAAATTTTAAAATATACACTGTGAAGAAGGAAGATACGGATTTGCTTAGGCTCAACACAAGAAATGTGCCATTTTTTAAGTTAAACTAAGGGGAAATGTATGACCTTCCAGCCGACAAGTAAAGCATGAAGACATAGGCAACTTTAAGTATCTGAGATTAAAGACAAGAAAACTTTAAGCATGTAAGGTTAAAGACAAGAAAAAAATTTGAAGAACTGTGGAGGAATTATTTTCACAAGTTGTCCATTGTAGGAGGTAAACATGCAGTCAAAATTCTAGGCAGGGTCAAGTTAAGGGTACTTTAATAAAGATGAAAATTAAAAGAGTCGTGTGATAATATTCCTACTGAATTAGTAAATGAACTGGAGAAAGCAGTTACTCTGGCTACTAAATTGTTAAAAGAAATTATACCAGCTACAAAATGCTTAAACATATGAAGGAGAAGAAGCACTATACAATTATACCAATGACACCAGCATAAGAGATAAATTAATATAATGAGACCAAAAACAAAACTTGGGATATTCCAGAGAAGGCTATCATGGAAGTTACTTACTTCAAGGTTTTAAGAAAAGAACTAGACATGCTTTCATTAATTTATAAAGTTGTGAAGGGAGATTACATAGTGTGTTTCAGAAGATAAAAGGGCTTAAAATCATGTCATTAAGGAGCGGACGCTACATATATATACATTACACAGACACACACACATATACATATATATGTATATGTACGTAGATACATACATATATCATATGTGTGTGTGTGTGTGTGTGTGTGTGTGTGTGTATACATATACATGTATATGTATAGGGAGAGGGGGGGGAGAGACAGAGAGCTAATTTATCTCCTTCTAAGAGGAGACTCACTCTCATCAGTCTTTTTTTTTTTTTTTTTGCCCAATCCTTTTCAATCCAATGAATAGAAAGAAAATATGGGGATATGTCATCCCGCAAAGATTAAGATGACACCTTCTGAACTTTGGGCCATTGAGCGTGAGCATTCACTGCTATAAAAGTATGAGGAGATTCTCCACATATAATTACAGAGGTTTACATCAAATGCCAGCAGTAGGACCTATCGATTTGAATAGGAATACAAGGCATTTCAGATGAGATACCGTCCCACATGTCATTTGTTGACGACGTTGTATTAGTTGGTGGAAGTAAAGAAAAGATTATTGTTAAAGTTAAAAAGGTCAACAAAAACATTAGAACCTAGGAGAAGTAAAATCACCAAGATAAAGCTGAAATACAATGGATGGAACTTTATGAAAGTAAAAGAAACAAGGATAACTTCACATTGATGGCTAAAAATTACTATATTCCTTTATTTTTTGGTACAAGTCCTTAAATTTCTTATTATTTTGAAATTAATCCCTCAAATCATTGGAATTGCTATTAGGTCTGCCAATCCTTAAGTTATTTTGAAGTTAGTCCCTCAAATCATTGACATTACTATTAGGTCCCCAAATTCATAATTACTATGAGGTCCCCAAATTCATGATTTATTTTGAAATTAGTCCCCCAATCAAGAGTAGAAGTAGCAATTACAGGGATTAATCTGAAACAACTTATAAGAATGGGATTGGGAGGCAGGTCTTGAAGGTTGATAGGTCGGGAATTTTAAACCATAAACACGACAAAAGATGTATCCTATCGTTTCAAGTTCTTGCCAAATGCTTATTGCACTGCCTGTTTATAGATCTTATAAAATAAAATTGGAAGATCGTACAAGAATCTAATGCAGAGAGATGTAAGAGATCAGATTGTAACTGGATTTGTTATTTGGCATGTAAAGGCATAGAAATTAGGAGAATTTTGTGAAGAAACTGATAACTACTTTCACGAGGACTTATGAGGACATTATACAATCATGTTATGATAATGCAAAGACTAAAGCTACAAATGTGACTGATTTAGAGTAACAAGAAAACTCTGAGAGAGAGAGAGAGAGAGAGAGGTTATGTGCTACATTTACTTTTCACTGCATGATCATTATTGTAAAATGGTATACTTCAACTGTCTATATAATTTAATTTTAACTTACAAACAGAATTTACAATTACAATCATTTTTCAGGGCAAAGACTGACCTCAGGATTAACCTTTCTCTTATCCACATAAAAGAACGCCGAGTCAATTGTTACTATTGCATATGCATGAACAACTGGAGAATATGCTACATCATTTCCTCGAACATTATATAACCAAGCAACCTAATTGAAAACAGAAATTAGAAAGATGTGAGAGTACAATCATGATCAGAAATTTAGGAAGATACCCATAAATATGACAGAAACAAAATATTGCAACAAGCACTGTCGAAAAAAGCAGCAAAAAAGCAGTGGTATAAAGCGGAAGAGGCCATTGGCCGCTTTGCTTTGCTTCAAAATATGAAGCGCCATTGGCTTTTTGCTCACAAAGGTGAAAAAAGCAACAAAAGTAATGAAAAGCAGAGAAAAGCGCTAAATAGCAATTAATACCGCTGTAAAACACCTAAAACCCCTCTTATTCTAATATCTCTCTTTCTCTTTCTCTATTACAAACACACACAAGAAAAACCTAAGGCCCCAAATCATCCTCCGCCTCTACCACCTCCCACTGAATCCGCCACCTCCCGCGGCCAATTCCGCCTTCAGAAGGTTCTCCAATCTCCACCACCGCCTCCAGCACCTTCTCTTGCAACCTCCAACTCCTCTCGCGCCACCTCTCACCATCTCTCACTATCTCCAGCAAGCTCCTCATTGAAGCCTCAGTCCACTGCTCCATCTCCTCCACTGCCTCGCCGAAGCACTATTACTTTGTTAGCATTATGTGATTATTACATGTCTATTTCATGCTTGGGATCTCTATAAATCATCAAATATGTATTTGTAGAACTTTTTTAGATTTTTCTTGAATTTTCCTTATTTTGAATATTTATCTATATTTAAACTTGACAGCTTTTTTACTTGGCGCTTTTTTACTCTTTGATCTGCTTAAAACCCCAAAGGCCCCAAAAGATCTAAATGGGGCCTCGCTCAGCTTTCCGCTTTCTATAACCTTGGCTTTAAGCAACAATTGGCAAATCATAACAAAGGAGGAAGAAGATACCTCATCAAGTGCAGTAATAATGATACCGAAGGCTTTCTCTTGCATAAGTTTTTCTCTTAGATCCTTCAATTTGTCTTCTACAGAACGGCCTGTGAACTCTAAAGGGTGTACCACTACAGGAAGTTCCTCAGCTGGTGGACGATCTTTCCAAACTTCATCCACCAAGTTGGTGGACAGTTGTATTAATGTCTGTTTGTTCCTGGTGAACGCACGCTCCCATCTTTGAGCAGTTTCAACAGATACACACCACGGGTCTATTCCTATAGCACCCTCACTTGGAATGTTCTGAAAGAAAAGTAACAAATAACCGGTATATTATCAAGATGAGCAACATTAAGCAAAGATAATCACATCCAAAAAGGCATAGTGGCAATCTGTACATGCACAGGAAAGACTTTAGAAAGACATCTATATTGAATTGAATAGAGTGATAGAAACAAATCAATGAGAGAGAATGACATCTCACATCAGCTATCCAAGTCTCAACAGCTGGATCTTCACCAATTCGCATGAGCTTCCACCGTTCACTCAGTTGTTGAGTAGCCTGCAAGAAATATCGGCCATCCGTCCACAAGAATGCCTCGTTTTTTGTTATAAGGGCCAAACCTAATTGACGATAAAAGATTAACAGTCTACAACGGGAAATTCTGAATATCTAAACATACATGAATTTGATCTAGATAAAATAAAGGTGTGCAGATCAATGGAACCATACACAGGATGACCAACTGGCGGTTCACATTTAGCTATTGCAGATAGCTCTACAATGCCATAGATATCGTTTTACCTACATGTCCGACTATGCGTTATGTGAATAATGATATAATGAACAACCTCAAAGAAGAAGGGAGGAAAAATCTATATCGCCATGTCAGATAACGACTGGTTTGTACATGTCCAAACTGAATTTAAGTGGTGAGGTTCTTCAATAATATATATCCGATATTGTGAAATGTAAAGCGTCCATCATGAATGAAATAAAGTAGGCAGACTAATATGCAATAAAATCAAATTTTTTTATCCACCTACATCCTAAGATCCATACGTAGAAGAAGATCCAAGATAGAAAATTACCTGAAGCGTGCAGATTAACAACGAAAAACTACGTACTCGTTGAAATGTTGCGCGGCAATTGTAGCGACGCCTCTACTAGTATCCACACGAACTTGTTGGAACTCCGCGCGTCAGTGTGCTAGCACTTTGAAGACGGCGGCCTTTGGAGTTTCTCTCTCTTTTTCCTCACGATTTCAAAAGCTCGGTTGGATAATTAAAAGGTCCATCCCATGCCCTTTTTTATAGGACTGTGAGGTAGTTTCTCAAACCGTAAAGAGATCGGGATTCCAATCATACGGTTTCTCAAAATATAATTTGATCGGGATTCCAATCATACGGTTTCTCAAAATATAATTTGTTCAAATCAAATCATATCTTTAAACCGTGATTGATCATATCAATTTGATTGCTAGGAGATAGGTTCATTGAACTTGGTCAGTATTTCTTTCAAACGTGATTGATCAAATCAGTTCTGATCAATTAATCGAGATTGATCAAATCAATCCTTATCCAATTACCCGATAGCCTCACAACTAATCATATCTCTATATGACTTAATTTATGCGGGCTTTCTTAATAATGTTCCAACATGTTTTTGTGTGCGACCTAATAGGTTTACACGATGTTGGCAGTGAGCCAAAATACTTTTTTTCAGCCCACAAGTCATAAGCGGACCCTAGCAGGACATTATGACTACCCAAATCATGTAAAGGTCATCTCAGACGAAACCTAGTTCACAATGGACATATGTCGGTCTCTTCATCACTAGATATCTTGATTGAACTCAAGACAGGAAGCGTGTCAACCTTATACAATTCAACCTTTAATTTCTCGCACCTGAAGTTAGACTGACTTTTCAATAGTTGACTCTCAACTAATTAGGCATGGCTATGCACTTTCTCAGTCTATCTTCTTCGAGGGGCCCGGAGATATCTTACTCTCATTTATATGAGAGGGACAAATTCCATCTTGACCATTCACATCCCTCTGCATGATTCATAGCATACCCGATTGATACCTTTATTATTATCCGTTTAGGGAAACGTTTGGTAACATCAAAGTATACAATCCTCATGTAGGAAACTATGATAATCTCAGGTCAAAAGACCGAACATAATCATTGTATGAAACCTACTGATGACACATATAATCCATGCAGTGTTTCATAGCGGGTCAGTCCAATATCATGTTCACCAACATATACCCATGTAATTGACTTGATATCTCATATCCATGATCCGTGAAACATGATCATCAATCAATCCACATACTGCCTATAAAATCATTAGTCTCCCAACCAATGACAAAAGACAATGACTATTTAGAATAACATCACAATCTAATTACAGAGTTTCACGTTCAAGTCACATACTTAATGATCCATAATAAGTGATTTATTCAAAGGACCGAATAACAGATTATTCATAGAAGTTGCATAAACATAAATTAAACACAATCATCTCTGTGATTGGTCTCTAGGGCATATCATACTAACAATGAATGCATCCAATTTAAACAAACTTACTCTTTACACCTCTGATACTAGAGGATGACAAAAAAACAACAAGGGATGGGTCCCAGTTTCTAATTCATCCCCGAATGTGATTGATTTCAACAATATGGACACCTATGATCCATCATAGGCATTGGATCATCATCAGCCAAGGAGAGATTACTATCATGAGTCCGGATTCAACAAGTTAAAGACTAGGGGATGACAAAAATAACAAGGGGCGGGTCCCAGTTTCTAATGCCTATGATCCATGATAGGCATTGGATCATCACCAGCTAAGGAGAGATTACTCTCATGATTCCTGATTCAACAAGTTAAAGACTAGTTTACCATATAAAGAAAAAGAGTTGTGAACTTGTGGATGAGAATGACTAAGTGACTAAGTTATGGGTCTATGGATGAAAAAGACTAAGTGGCGCAACTAACAAATTAGTTATATCGTTTTTATCCATCCCAAATTAACACAAAAGCCTTCTTTTTTTTCTTTTCTTATACTATATTTTCTAGAGTCTAAAGTAGAATAGGAAAATCTCCAGTGACCTCAATTTCTCAGATGTTGTGGGTTTGCATCTTGGTCAAAAATTTTGGGATTCTCATCATAACATAGCGTGGATTTCCACCTCTTGACATTTTATAATCAGATAAGTAGGATGGCTTTCGAAAATGCAACTTTAGTAACAGGGTATGGTGCAAAGGATTGGATGATAAATCCATGTAAATTAAGGTACGCTTAAAGAAGTGGGCAAGCCATAATCTGGGTAAAAATCATAATATAGCGTGGATTTCCATCTGTTGAGTTAGTCCTGAGCTCAAAATCACTATGAAGGCATATATTGCAGGTATGACTAATAAAAATGACCAAAAATGGACTGTTAATCTCAAATACGTATATTATCTCAATTGATCTATCCTTGTAAACTTTGGATTTTGATGAGAAAGGTATTATCGTAGAAAAGTGCAATGCAATGGACGGCAGCAGGCAACCCTTCATGTGATTGTTCCTGCTTTTATTTATTAACAGTTGGGATGACCCACAATACTTCAGCTCATCTCAATATAAATGTTCAGATACCACAAATAATAGGTTCTTCTTAAATTAGCAATCCTCAATGTACCCCTTTTCTAAATGGTACAACTTTGAGGTCAATCAAAGTTTCAGATATAAAAATTAATTATCTTAAGCTTCTAAATGTGATTCAAATCATGTCTACCTTCATCATCTTGGGAACCGAAATACACATGCTGCATATACACAAAAGAAAGGCAATAGCAGCTCTCATTGCAGTTCTTCTGTGAACTGTTGCATGTTACTCTTAATACACAATCAAGCAAACACAGAATGCTGGAACGCACTGAAAATGCTCTCAACCTTCTCCCTTCAATCCCCAACAGCTATAGGGAAAGTTCAATTTTTATAAAAGAGAGGATCCGGCATTATTGATAATTGCACAAGATACGTAAGATATATCGTGTAACCAACAATTCTCAATCTATAACCTTTTGCAAATCAAAATTTGCACTATAGGTTTAAATTTACGTGAATTCTTTCAGTACACGCATTTACTCGTGTCAGAAATTTTAGTGAGGCTTAACCCCTTCGACCAAAAGAATACAAATGAGAAATCGCCATTAGCCAAGTGGCTAGAAAACTAGATTCTCTGACAATGAAGCATGTGAAGTCACATGTAAACGCACAAGAACACATCTTTCCTAAAAATCTTCGGGAAAAATGTCAATTAATTGAACGATAAAGATCTTTACCAGCGCTCCCGCTGAACTTGGAGACAAATTCACGCCTCTTATCTCTCGCAGATACGTACTCACTCTGCAAATGGGAAGGTCACAAATTTAGAAACCAAATCAAATGAAATCAAATCAAATCGATGGCGATCATCGGAAACCCTAGGTTGACCTGATGATTATCTTCAGAAGGGACGATGAGAGCATCGAGAGGAGGGGAATGAGAAGCCATCAGCGATCGCAGGGCATCGAGGGGATCCGCCATCGCTACGGTTTCGTTCTCCGATGTTTTTCAAGATCTTGAAGGAGATGGAGGAGTTTAGAGGAGAGAGAAGCGAGCAGGTATATTTTCGTCTGTTGCTCGCGTTTTATAAATGATGATGACGATGAATGAGAGCAGCGTCTTTGGATGACGGATGAATGTATGAATCTCGGAGTATTGAAGCGAGGCACGCGAGCCTAGGTTGGGACCGTGGTTTCGGGTTAAAATATCTCATCCTGACTCAGATGCATCTATAACTCAATTGCGACTCTTTGGTGTTCGGCAAATTTAATTCTATGCCCAATTTGATAAAGCAAATGCGGTGAAGTGCCAAGACTTAATTAACGTGGGAAAGCAACTTTAAAGTGAGTGAGAAGGACAAATTTTAGAAACAATCATATTTGAATTTTTAGCAAAAAACGACCCGTTTCGAAATTATTTGTAAAAACCGACCTGGTTTTAGCCCTGTCACTAAAATCAGGTCGGTTTTTGAAAAAAAAAATTACGAAACTCCCGTGAAGTTTAAAAATATGCTAAACTTCCTCCCGTGAAGTTTAAAAATATGCTAAACTTCCGTGAAGTTTAGCATATTTTTAAACTTCATGGGAGTTCAACTGCCGTGAAGATTAAATTCTTCAAAAATCTTCATGGGAGTTCAACTCCCGTGAAGATTTATTCAGAGAACAGACTTCACGAGAATTGAACTCTCGTGAAGTCTGTTAGAGTATTAAAATCTCCACGGGAGTTGCTCCAGTGAAGTCTGTTAGAGTATTAAAATCTCCACGGGAGTTCAACTCCCGTGGAGTTACAGGCCAAATTTCCCAGAAAATCGCTTTCTAGGAAATTTAGACTACAACTTCACGGGGGTTGAACTCCCGTGAAGCTGTAGGTTTTACAAAACATGCACAGGTTGATGTGTTGTGCATGTTTTGTATACATCTACCTGTTTAACTCATATATATAACTATTTACCTGTTAACAACAATTACTACAATATATATATATATATATACCCCCCCAGATCCGCCCCAATGAGAGATTTTCTCTCAACAACCCTTCCACGTTTTCACATTCCACAATTCTCTCTACTGAGAATCGTTGATTTGGTCATCTTAGACCAGGTCAAGCTAACATCTCCCACTTGACCAAATCAACCAAGTGATATGCCTCCCACTATCCGTGAGATCAGATGTTTCTGCTTACTATTACTCCCACTATCCATAGAGAGTAACTTTTATTTCATTATTCATGAAATTTTACTTGGACTTATTTATTCCTAAGTCCCATCAAACTTACATGTTTGATAAAAGATTCCGCTGGTATTCCTTTTGTCAAAGGATCAGCAATCATATCTGTAGTAGGGATATAAGTCACTTTGACTTCTCCCTTTTCTACAATATCTCGAATATAGTGATACTGGATCTCAATATGTTTTCCTTTGGAGCTATTCGCGCCACTATTGATTAAGCTAATTGCTGCTTGATTATCACAATAAATATCAATAGGTCCTTCTAACAAATTGAGATCAAGATCAATCAAAAACCGTCTTATCCAGACAGCATGTGTAGTTGCCATACTGCAAGCTATATATTCAGCTTCTTGCGTATATCTAGCAACACACCCTTGTTTCTTGCTACTCCAAGAAACAGCTCCTCCTCCAAAGATAAATAAGTGTCCCGAAGTGGACTTTCCATCATCTTTATCACCTCCGAAATCAGCATCGGAATAACCGAGGAGTTCAAGCGAATCAGCTTGATAAACTAATCTATGAGTCAATGTACCTCTGATATACTTCATAATCCTTTTAACAGCTTCCCAATGTGCTGGTCCTGGATTACTTTGATATCTACTGACTAGACTCACAGCATAAGCTATATCAGGTCTGGTGCACAACATTGCATACATCAAGCTTCCAATTGCTTGAGCATAAGGAACATCTAATGGCTTTTGCCCCTCTCCAGGGCTTTGCTCTTTACATAATCTCTTTCCCATAACCAACGGAGTTGGTGCCGGATTGGAATTCTCCATTCCAAACCTTTTAAGAACTGATCTTAAATATTTTTCTTGGTTTAAACTTAGCATTCTAGACTTTCTATCTCGAATTATTTGAATTCCAAGAATATATGATGCATCTCCCATGTCTTTCATCTCAAACTTTTCGCTGAGATCTGCCTTGGTTTTATTCAACATTTCTATGTCATTTCCAGCGAGCAATATATCATCCACATATAAGGATAATATAGTAAACTTGCTCCCACTTTTCAAGACATATACACAATTATCTAATTTATTTTGAATAAAACCAAGTTTAGTAACTGCATCATGAAATTTGAGATACCATTGTCTAGAAGACTGTTTTAAACCATATAGAGATTTCATTAATTTGTAAACTTTATGTTCCTGTTCTTTCACCTGAAAACCTTCAGGTTGTTGCATATATATTGCTTCCTTCAACTCTCCGTTAAGGAATGCAGTTTTAACATCCATTTGGAATAACTCCAAATCAAGATATGCAACAATAGCCAAAATAATTCTAATGGATGCAAATTTAGCTACAGGAGAATACGTCTCCTGAAAATCTATTCCTGCCTTCTGGTTATAACCTTTGGCAACTAACCGTGCTTTGAATTTATCAATAGATCCATCAACACGATATTTCTTTTTGAGCACCCATTTGCATCCTATGGCTTTTCTATTTTCTGGTAGATCACATAACTCTCATACCTTATTCTTTTCTATGGAATCAAGTTCTTCTCTCATAGATTCTAGCCATAAAGCCGATTCATGCGATTTCATCGCATCAGAAAAGGTTAAGGGATCTTGTTCTTCTATATTTGTATCTACCGAAAAACAGGATGACTCACATGAATACAAATAGTAATCATCCATCCATGAAGGTTGTGTTCTTGGTCTTTTGTTGCCTACAACCGGTTGATTAGGTACATTAATTTCTATAGGTATTTCATCATTTTCAAGGTTAGGTTCATTCACAATATCAGGGTCATTAGTGGGAACAACACTGTAATAATCATCATCTATTACAGTTAGAGGTTCTGTTTCCTCTTGAACTTGTTCCTCTTCCTCTAGATTCTCTAGAAATGTAGCATCTCTGCTTTCAATGACTCCTTTTTCTTTATTGTAGAACTTATAACCTTTTGACTTTTCTGAATACCCTATGAATCTACACTTTATTGTTTTAAAATCCAACTTATCTCTAAGTTGACATGGAATGAGAACATGGGCTATAGATCCCCACTTCCTGAGATGACTCAAATTAGGTTTCCTCCCATTCCATAATTCATAAGGTGTAGATATAACTGATTTGGTGGGAATTCTATTTAAAATGTAGTTTGCAGTTAACAATGCTTCTCCCCAAAAGTTTTTAGAGAGACCAGAATGAGACAACATGCATCTAACTACATTTAATAATGTTCTGTTTTTTCTTTCAGCAACACCATTCTGTTGTGGCGTATACGGCATTGTTGTATGCCTTTTAATTCCATGCTGAATACAATAACTTTCAAATTCTTTAGAATTATATTCTCCACCTCTATCAGTTCTCAGAATTTTGATTTTCAATCCAAGTTGGTTTTCAACTTCTGTCTTATATCTCTTAAAGCAGTCAAAAGCTTCTAATTTTCTGGATATAAGATAGACGTGTGCAAACTTGGAATAATCATCTATAAAAGTAATAAAATATTCTTTATTACTATGAGTTTTGACACTTAGGGGACCACAAATATCCGAGTGTATCAACCCTAAAAGTTCATTGGCTCTATGTCCGCCAACAAAAGGTTTTCTAGTCATTTTACCAGTTAAACAATGTTCACATGGTGGCAATTGAACATTAGATAGTACAGGAAGCAAGTTCATTCTGATAATTTTTTTCATTTTTGAAATACTAGCATGTCCTAGTCTAGAATGCCACAATTCAGATTCAGAAATATAACAGGACAAGTAGTTCAAATTCGAAATTTTATTATCAGAATTATTACAAACTACTGGAAGAATGCATAATTCATGCTCGGGCACATATTTACCCATAGCATACACTTTATTATTCTTGCCTATAGAAACCCTGTTATTATAGAACCTCACTTCCAGTCCTTTCTTCATCAAGCTGGGAACAGAGATCAGATTGCGTCGAATTCCTGGCGCATAGAACACATCTTTGAGGACAAGAATGCTGTCCCCAAGATCCAATCTATACGAACCAATACCTTCTACATCGAGATAGGTATTATTTCCCATATAGATTCTCTGTTCTCCTTTCTTCAGCTCGGTGAATTCTACGACTCCATTCTTGTCCTTTGCAATATGCCTAGTTGCACCGGAGTCGATCCACCAACCACTGATATCCGTCATCACAGCATTACATTCCGTCACACCGACGAATTCTCTTTTGCTAGTACCCCCTTGTTCTGGATGCTTATAGCCTCCCTTATTCTCCTGCTTTTCACCTTGTGGGCAATTGGGTTTGAAATGCCCGAACTTTCCACAATTGTAGCAGGCTCCACGGGATACTTTCTTTCTCTTGAACTGCTGCGATTTCGGTCCTCGTGGTTGTGGTTTACTAGGACCAGGGTTTTTATAGCTTCCAGCATTATGCCTCTGGCGGACATAATTCAGCTCTTATTGCACTATATTCAGTTCTGGTTCCTTCCTACTGGCTATTAAGTCCTGTTCTATCGCTAGGTGCATAGGAAGATCGGTGACAGACTTAATGGCAGGATTCATTCTTAATGTGGTGGCAGCCACAGCAAGTGAAGGGGGAAGACTATTCAAAATGGTTGCCACTTGTATTCTTTCCGGGATTTCGGTCCCAGCAGTGGATAAGTCCTTAGCCATGACAATCATTTTATTTATATGCTCTACGACATTGTCTCCCTCTTGCATACGACAAGAATTATACTTATGCAAGAGTAGTTGGATGTTAACTTCAGAAGCAGTGTCGTATTTTTCTTTTATTGCATTCCACATGTCCATGGAAGTCTTATAAGTTTCAAAAACTTTGATTAAGTTATCTTCCATGAACATGAGCATAAGACTTTTCGCCTTTTTGTCTTTCGACTTCCACTGCTCAAACCCTTTCTTTTCTTCAGGTGTTGATTTATCAGTAAGGGTTGGAGCAGTGGTTTCGATTATATCATCAATGTTGTCATGAATAAGAGCATACCCTATTTTT